GTCCCTCTCTTCTAGGATTCAAAGACGCCAAGTACCTAGGGATGGTTTTCATTGCCAGCAGCGTTGGGATCTTCCTTATTCTGCATCTTTGCTGTGTGGTGGCATTGCTTGTTACCCCCAGCTAGCTACCCATGTTTTCATGATAGAGAATTTGAGCTGTCTAATATATAGGAGAAACGGGCTAGTGGTACAGCTCTGGAGCTAGACTTCCTGAGTACAGATCCTGAATTTAAACGCTACCATTTTCCAGGTGCTTGGGTGGCTCAATCAGGCATCTGACTCTTGATTTTGACTCACGTCATGATCTCACAGTTCCTTAGTTCGAGCCTTGATGTCAGGCTCTGCGCTGATAGCTTGGAGCCTGCTTGGGACTCTCTCTCTCTCTCTCTCTCTCTCTCTCTCTCTCTGTCTCTCACTCTCTTACTCTCACTGCCTCTCCCCCACTTGCACTCTCTCTGTCTCTCTGTCTCTCTCTCTCTCTCAAAATACATAAAATTTAAAATAAACTCTACCATTTTCTAGCTGTGTGGCTGCAGGCACAAATTGTTTATTCTCTTTGCCCTAATTCTCTCTTCTGAGAAATGGAGATAATAGCGCTTATATCATAAGTTGTAAGGATTAAATATGTTAATACATGTGAAATGCTTACACCAGTGCCTAGCACATACTTAGCACTCAATTATTGTCTGTTATTAGCATTGTTTCTTCCAGGCGTGGAACAGCAGGTAACTGGTAAGTTTTGTTGAGGATCTCTTGAGGAAAAGTCCAGTGGAGTTTATGCTGAACCATGGGTAAATCATAGAGAAAAGATTTATTTTAGGAGTAAGATCCAGGATCTACTTTATAATGAATATATGTATATGTAATTCTGTTTGTGATAGGAAGGAAGCATATGTATGTATTTGCTTTACAAATATTTATGGAGCACATGCCAAGTGTAAGGCAGTCTACTATACCACACAATCCAAGGTAAAAAAGGCTAAACGCCATAAAAATGTATAGGTGAATGGCATGGCAAGAAAATATTACTGGGCAGTAATAAAAGAATAAATCACAGATAAATGCAACAAGATAGATGAATCTCAAAAATGTATTGAGTGAAAGAAGTGAGGCATATAGAATATACACTGTATAATTCCATTTATAAGAATTTCAAAGACAGAACAAATTTATGGTTAAATTAATAAATTTCTGGTTTATAGAAATCTGAGCAATGGTTGCCTCTGGGAGAAGTCATTGACTTGGAAGGAACTTTCTGGAGTGATGTTAACATTTATAACTTGATTGGGATGGTGTTTAGATAAATGTTCACATTTACAAAAACTAATTTTTAAGATCTGTGCATTTCACCATACATACATTTCACTGCAATAAAACAAAATGATATGGGTGTTCAGGGGATGGAATGTTTACTGCCAACTGGGGTGATCATAAAACCCATAATTAAAAAATGACAGCATTATAACATATGTGGTAAATACTAAAATATGTATGCTATGGGGAAAGTTTAGCTGGTACTAAGAGGAAAGCTGTAAAAATTGTGTTTGGCTCTTTAAAAAAATACATATAATAATTTATAGAACTGATTACATATTTGCCTAAATATGTAGCATAAAAACAATGACATGTCATTAAGTATATAAGCTTAATTTTGTGGACTATTCTAGCTTGATTATATACTAAATTCCCCCTTATGATTACTGTTTTCAGACCGTTGCTCATGTATCCAGTCATTTGATCCTCCTAATTAGCACCAACATTAGTCTTGACTACAATAATGACCATGGGAATCCATGAGAAATTTCTAAAGATTTTGTTAGACCTTGGTGAGCATGAGAATTGAATTGGAAATGACTTTAGCTTTTAGCAGAACTGCTCTCTGGTCTTCTGCATTTACTGTCAGGTCTCACCTGCCTCTGCTTACAAATTGGTCTGGCTAAAAGGAGATCCCCTAAGTATCCTGACCCTAAGCGTCTCCACTACCATTCTCCTGTAGCTTGGCTAAAACTTGAACTCTTCATCATCCTTTTGCTCACAAAACCATCTTCTCCTTCCTCCCCAGTTACCTCTTTTTTTTTTTTCTTTTTGTAAAGTAGGCTTCATGCCCAGCCGGGAGCCCAAACAACCTTGAGATCAAGACCTGAACTGAGATCAGGGGTCAGATGCTTAACCCACTGAGCCGCCCAGGTGTTCCCCCAATTACCTCATTTTGGTTTTTTGACCAGTACCTGAGAAAAGCACAATAGTTCAAAGATAGAGCTTTTCAGGAAACTCCAATTAGGAAACAAGAACTAGCAAAACAGCATAGGAATCAGAAGAACAGGATAGTGTTGATGGGAATGTTGAGGAAGTGGTGATTCTATTGAAGTTAAAAGAGGAACCCATAGAAGGGGTGCCTGGCTGGCCCAGTCAGAGCATGCAACTCTTGATCTCAGGGGGTCATGAGCTCAAGCCCCACGTTGGGGATAGCGATTACTTAAAAATAAAGAAACTTCCAGGGTGCCTGGGTGGCTCAGTCGGTTGGGCCTCCAACTTCAGCTTAGGTCATGATCTCACAGTTCATGAGTTCAAGCCCCACATCAGGCTCTGTTGACAGTGAGGAGCCTGAAGCCTGCTTCCAGTTCTGTATCTCCCTCTGTCTGCCCCTCCCGTGCTCATGTTCTGTCTCTGTCTCTGTCTCCCAAAAGTAAATAAACATTAAAAAAAATTTTTTTTAATAAACTTAAAGTAAATAGTATTATGAGTAATTGTGAGCTAACATTTAAAAATCTAGATGGAATGGTTAAATTACTAGAGAAATATTTTTTAAATGCCAAAAGTTAGGAGTGCCTGGTTGGCTTGGTAGAGCATGTGACTCTTGATCTCAGGGTTGTAGGTTCGAGCCCCGTGTTGGGTATAGAGATTCCTTTAAAAAAAAAAAAAAAAAAAGGAACCCACAGAACTTGGAGAAATTGAATAGAAGGAATTAAAATTTTCTAACCAGGAATAGAAAGTTCCGTATCCAATGTAAACTTGACTATGGCCATAATTCTGAAATAAAGGCATTGTCCTATTTTAATATTAAAGAGGTCAAGGAAACCCAGTGGCTTTTTTTAGTTTTCTAGTACTATATAACAAATTATCTCAAACTCAGCACCTTAAAAAAGCAATAGTTTCTGAGGATCTGGTATTCCAAGGCAGCTGAGCTAGTGGTTCTGAGTCTCATAAGGTTGTAATCCAGATGTCAGCCAGGTTTGCAGTCATCTGAAGGAAGACCAGTCTCCAAGATGGCTGACTCATATGGCTGGTAAGTTGGTATTGGCAGCTGAAGAACCAGACACAAGAAAAGCTCTCTGTCCTCCTATTTACCTAAAAGCAGGGCATAAATTTGCATAGGTGTCCTTCCTCCCCTGTCTACCAGGAAGGACAAAGGTTATTCTCAGGAGACAACGTTAGCCTCTTATCAGCAGAGAAAGCCCTGATTAAATCTACCTAACAAGCCTTACCCTGTTTGCTTGCTTTTCCTGGTAACCTTCCGTCACTAGCCTCTTCCCCTCACACACACCTGTCTTTGTCTTCAGTTGAAGATGATATTTAAGCTATTTTCATTTTTAAAAAAAATTTTTTTAGACTGAGTTCTAAGCTACCTTTCTGAGTTGGCTTTTCCCTGGGAATCTCTGCTGTTACACATGTTAGTAAACAGTTTTCTTGTGAATATGTAATTACAGAAGTGGCAGCCAAGAACTCAAAAGGGTGGAAGGAAAATTATTTTACCTCTTTTCACAGGTCAACCCTTTCCACTGTTGGTGGGGACTGCGCAAGGGCATGAGAAATGTGGAGGCCCATCTTGAAGTTTGGCTACCACCGTAGCCAAGGAACAAGTTCAGATGCTCTCAGAGGCCAGGCCATCACATAAACAAATACCAACTGTGACAGGAAGATGTAGGGAGTAGTGGGGATTCCTCACTGAATACTCATTATCTACAGGAACTTACGAATGCCGGTCAATTGATTCTTTATCATACAGTTTTTCAAGACATCTGAAAGTTGTTTTTATTAAAGTAAACTTAAGCTTTTTACAATGTTGGCAAGCTAACTCAGTTACTGAAGAAGGCATTTAAAAAGGTAATCCCTGGGAGAAGTAAGTGAACCTCCCTGTGGACTGCATATAGTTTGGCAGCTGCCAGTTTGTGACTTCTGATCTACTTATTTTATTTTATAGATGAGGAAAGTGAGGCCCAGGAAAGCTAAAATGACCAAAGGTCATGTAACTAACTTGTGAATGACAGAACTAGAATTAGTGTCCAGCTCTCTAGCATCTCCATTAAAACATGACTAAGTTTTAAAAGAACTAAAAGAAACTCGATGCGTAAATAACCAGTGCCTTGTAAATGGTTAACTCATTGGTGCTCAACCCTCCTAAATGGACTCACCTGATGCATTTTTTTAAATTACAAATTCCTGGGCACCACCCATCACCATTCAGTTTCAGTTAGACCAGACTAGGACTTAGGCATCAGTTCTTTTTAAACTTCCAGGGTGATTCTAATGTGCAGCCAATATTGAAACCAGAAGGTTAACTGTTGTGAGAGACAGATTTATTTGTCATATGGCGACAGCCCCTAGCTGACTTAAGGTATAAAGAAGGAACCCTTAAAGGAATGTCAAGGAAGTCCTAGGTAGCTGACAGAATATGCTTCATAAAAGCCAATAAAGTCATATAGGCTGGATAAAGTTCACAAGCAATTTCTGCTTATTAGTAGTGATTATCATGCCCAGGTTTTGATTTACACAACAGTATCGCAGGTGATTTTGCAGACATTTAGATCATTATCTAAATATGTTGACACCACAGCCACATATACCAGTGTTCCTGGATCCCAACCCTTAGAAGTTCTGTGAACACTACATACACCTTTAGTTCACTCTATATGAGAAATTTACAAAAATAATGACATATTTAAAGAGGAAGTGAGAAGTATTTACTGCTGTTGATGGTTCTTCATTAAATTACATGCTGGTTTATATGAGGGGTTTTTTTTTGCTTTTTTTTTTTTTTGTAATTACAGTTTAAGAGTGGAGTTTGGTTGTTGTTTCCTGCTTAACATTTATAAGTTGAACATTAACTTGACAGTCCTAGATAAAGGTTTCAAGCCTTACCTATGATGTCAAACCAAGACCATAACTGACAGGAAATATTGTCACTTGTTTAAACCTACATTGCAGGGGCGCCTGGGTGGCGCAGTCGGTTGGGCGTCCGACTTCGGCCAGGTCACGATCTCACGGTCCGTGAGTTCGAGCCCCGCGTCAGGCTCTGGGCTGATGGCTCGGAGCCTGGAGCCTGTTTCCGATTCTGTGTCTCCCTCTCTCTGCCCCTCCCCCGTTCATGCTCTGTCTCTCTCTGTCCCAAAAATAAATAAACGTTGAAAAAAAAAAATTTAAACCTACATTGCAGTTCCCGTTTCACTGTGCAATTCTGTCCTGTACATTGGTTTCTCCAGTATCGTCTGAATTTATTGGAAAACTCAAGGATTTGAATTCAGAGAAAGTCACTGCTCAGAAATCAGTGTTAGATTGCATTGGTCATACTGAAAGTTTTTTATATTTTGTGGTAAGTTCAAGGGGCACCTGGGTGTCTCAGTCACTTAGGCATCTGACTCTTGATATCTGCCCAGCTGGTGATCTCGCTATGGTGAAATCAGGTTCTGTGTCAGGCTGAGCATGGAGCCTGCTTGGGGTTCTCTCTCTCCCTCTCTCAAATAAATAACTAAACTTAAAAAAATTGTGGTAAATTAAAAATATCTAAAAGAATATTTAGTACAAAGTGAAAAATACAAAGTTAGAAATAGCCTTCAATAAATGGGGCTTGGCTCCCAGGTCTGCCACTAGGTGACCTTGGGAAAGTTATTTAATTGCTTTGATCTTCAGTTTCTACATTTGTGAAGCAGGCGTGTTAAGTTTAATGCACATAATGTGCCTACCATATGAGTCACTCAATAAATGGAATGGAGCCATAAGTTGAGTAGACCTTTAATTTTCTCCTTGGTCTTAAAGCATTTGGGGCTGGAAAAGTAGCAAGAACAAAAATATATAAGGTAACAAACTGTGTGGTGCCGTGGACACATACAAGCAGTTTGGTGTTACTGAAGGAAAAGTACAAAGCAGAGAATGGCTAGAGATAAGGCTGGAAAGGTCATTCTAGAGTATGGAAAGGAGGACCTTGTGTACCATGCTTAAGAACTTGTATTCTGTACTGTATGCAGTGGACAGCCAAAGATTTTTAAGGGAAAGATAAGGTCATATTCATATTCATGTGTTAGACACCACTGGCTGGAATTTAAAGGGCAGTTTAGAGGGATGAAGAAGCAAGAAGATAGGTTCGTTGGCCATAGAAATATATATATTTTTAAGTTTATTTATTTGACAGAGGCAGAGACAGCATGAGTTGGGGAGGGGCAGAGAGAGAATCCCAAGAAAGCTCCGCACTACCAGCAGAGCCCGACATGGGGCTAGAACTCACGCAACCAATATCATGACCTGAGCTGAAACCAAGAGTCGGACGCTTAACTGACTAAGCCACCCAGGCACCCCGACATAGAAATATTCTACACAGAGATAATGAAGGCCCAGTTTAGGGTGGTGGGAGAGGAAAGAGGAAGATGAGCAAATCTGAGAAATATTTAAGAGGTAGGGCTTGATTCATCAGGAAGAGGGATGAGTTGGGGATGACTCCTAAATTTTTGGCTTGGTGAGTAGGTAAATGACAGAAAACTAAGACAATTTAGAAGTGGGAAGATAATGAATTCACTTTTTAACACATTGATTATGAGTGTCTGTGGGATGTCCAAATGAGTGCCTTTCACAAGCAGTTGGACGTTGGAGTCTGTAGCCAAGGGAAAGGTCAGGCCTGGTGATACAGATTTGGGAGCCATTGAATGTTGTCAGACCAGTGAGAGTTGATGAGATCAAGGAAAGCAGAATGGAAAGAATTTTAATAAGCCATGGACTGCTAGAATATTGGGAAACATGAATACCTAGGTGAGTGGAGAAGATAAGAGCCTAACAAGAAAATGGAAGAGGACCAATCATAGAACTGAGAGAAGAGTAAGTTGGTATCACCAAGTCAACCAAGTATTTAACATAAACGAACCTCTCCAGTATAACATTTAGGAGTTTCCCTCCTGAGAGTGATGAGGTTTTGGGGTGGGGTTTGTGAGGTTCGGAGCCAATGGACAAGAAAAAATTCTTGAAGTCTTTGGTGCAAAAAGGTGATTTTATTAAGGCATGGGGACAGGGCCTGTGCATTGTAAGTGTGGGGGGTTATGGGTTTATGGAGTTGGGGTAGAGGGAGTTTCCAAAGAGACTTTCACATACTAAAAACTTACTGGAGGGGCGCCTGGGTGGCTCAGTCGGTTAAGCGGCCGACTTCGGCTCAGGTCATGGTCTCGCGGTCCGTGAGTTCAAGCCCCGCGTCGGGCTCTGTGCTGACAGCTCAAAGCCTGGAGCCTGTTTCGGATTCTGTGTCTCCCTATCTCTGACCCTCCCCCGTTCGTGCTCTGTCTCTCTCTGTCTCAAAAATAAATAAACGTTAAAAAAAAAAAAAAAAAAGACTTACCGGAGGCCTAGCTATTATTGTCAACCTAAGGTTGTTTTTCCCTCTAGCAAAGCATTAACATTAAGTCGCAGGGAGTTCCTGGACTTCAGGCTATGATGGGGTTGCCTTTTTCTGGTAAACTAGTGGGGACTCTTATCAGTTTAACCATTTGAGTGTTTTTTGTTTGTTTATTTTTGGGTTTTTTGTCCTTTCCTTGTTTTGGGTAGCCTGGAGTGTCCAAGGATTATCATACATGTCCCACCTGGGTTGGGGGCAGGGGGGAGCTGTTGGCCTGCACTTTGCCCTCAGCTTGCCCCATGTTACTTCATCAGGAGTGGAAGGTATACAAGGTTGGGAACCTTGCATTCTCTTTCCATTTTGGACAGTTCATTTCTACTGTTACTGTTCACCAAGGCCAAGAGGGATAAAATGGTGTCAGAGACAGCAGAGGGATCCAATGAGTTAGACTGGATTTGGCAGTTTGACAGCAGTTGCAGTAGAGGGGAGAAAAGCCAGATTGTGGTGGGTTGAGAGTGAGTGGGAAGTGAGAAAGTAGAGAAAGCCAAGATACTTATCTCAGAAGAAAAGGAGAAAGAGGAATGTATTTTCTTTTGGGGGTAGAGTTCTTTTGAGATTGATTGTTTTGCTACAACTTGGCTTCACTCTTCAGCTGATATTTTATTATCAGCTCATATTTTATGTGTGTATGTGTGTAGTGTCTATAGGTACCTTATATGTGTATAAATGTGTACTATTTAAAATGTGTACTATTTTAACATGAGGTAATGAAAATTTTTTTTTAATTTTTTTTAATGTTTATTTTTGAGGGAGAGGCAGAGAGAGAGGGAGACACAGAATCTAAAGCAGGCTCCAGGCTCCAGGCTCCAGGCTCCGAGCTGTCAGCACAGAGCGTGATGTGGGGCTTGAACCCACGAACCGTGAGATAATGACCCTAGCCAAAGTCGGATGCTTAACTGACTGAACCACCCAGGCACCCCAGGAAGAAAAAAAAAAAAAAAAAAAAAACTTTTAAAAGAAACTGTGGTGTTATATTGAGCCTATTATCTGCTCTGTAACATATTTTGATTAGGGTCATTTAGTGAATTGCTCTTGTCTTTCGCTTTCCTTCCCTGTTTCCTTCACTCTAGGGGTCAGACTTGGCTCACTATCTAAGGGCTTTTCCAGCCTTGTTGGTTACTTCCCCATTCTCTGTCACAGGCATTTCCCCTAATAAAAAAATTTTGCGTGTTTAATCTCATCTTGGCAGCAGCTTCCTGAACTCCAAATAAGCTTCAGAAATGCTTAAATATTTTGGGTAGCTGTAAGGTTAGCATGACACAACCAATTTTTTTTTTTAATAAAAATTTACTCTTTGGGAGTTTTTTCTCAGTGACTATTACAAACATAATTTGTGGATACTGAGAGAACTAATTCTTGCCTTCCTATTTACTGTCTTATGTACATATTATGACTTGAAGAAATAGAATCTTAGGATTTTTAGCATGAAAAAATTTTGATCCAACAGTTTTGGAATGGGAAGAAGAATTAAAGCATAGTCAAGTGCCTTGCTGGTGGACCACATTCTGTCTCTAACCTTCAATATAACTAAGCTGAAATAAGCTAAGTTATAGGACAGAAGAGAAAGTTAACATTTATTCAGGACAAGTATGTGGGGTAGGGAAGGAGTTGGAATGTTAGAATGAGAAACTCTAAGGCTGATGTACTTCAACCTGCACCACTAAGCCAAGCTTTAGAATACCCACTGGTGTATTTTTTTTAATTGAAAAAAGAAAAGTAAACAATGTAGATTAAAAGTCCAAGACTCGAGCATGCAACTCTTGATCTCAGGGTTGTGAATTCAAGCCCCACATTGAGTGTAGAGATTACAATCTTAAAAACAGTACCAAAAAAATTAAGTCTAAGACTAAAAGTCCTAGAGACCCAGGTCCAAAATTGCCTTGGTCAGCCATTGTCCCATCTAGTCATCTGCTTTCACACTATGGGGCTACAGAATTAGAGAATAGTCCCCAAGACCACCCTCATTTCTGACACCGGTTGCAAGTTTGGGTCCCCAAGACAACCCTTAGTTTTGATAACTTTGCTAGGATTCACAGAACTCATTAAAAGCTGTTATACTGTTAGTTATGGTTTATTACAGTAAAAGGGTTCATTTTTTTTTTAATTTTTTTTCAATGTTGATTTATTTTTGGGACAGAGAGAGACAGAGCATGAACGGGGGAGGGGCAGAGAGAGAGGGAGACACAGAATCGGAAACAGGCTCCAGGCTCTGAGCCATCAGCCCAGAGCCCGACGCGGGGCTCGAACTCACGGACCGCGAGATCGTGACCTGGCGGAAGTCGGACGCTTAACTGACTGCGCCACCCAGGCGCCCCTACAGTAAAAGGGTTCAGATTGAAATCAGCCAAGGGAAGAGATGTATGTTGCATAGTCCAGGAGGGTTCCAAATGCAGAGCCCCCAGTTGTCCTCTTCCTTGGACAGTGTTGACCCCTCCTGGCAATAAGATGTTGATCTCTGATATCCATAGTTTTTACTGGGGCTCTATCACATAAATACTGTCAGCTGCTCTGTGGCTGACCTCAGTCTCCAGCCCCTTGAGTGGTCAAACTGATAACACATGACCCAAAGCCCCCACAATAAATTACATTATTAGGCTGTCTGATATGACCCAAGACCCTGATATCAGCAGGACATTCCACAGGCTTAGAGATTACCTCCCAGGAGCAGAGGGAAAGGCCAAGACTCTCTTTGAGCAAAATTGTTTACTACACAGGGCCATTGATTTTATATTTTAACCTAAATAATACCTATCTCATAGGGCAATTGTGAAGATGGAATAAGACATTGGATTGAAAAATGGCTCTGGTGCCTCTGGGTTTTCCAAGATAATATGTAGCCAGTAATGGTGGAGCTGAGATTTGAACTCAGGACTTTCTAATCCC